GGGGTGGGGGGCGGGAGGAGCACCCACTTGGAGCCGGGCGCCAGGTGGCCCAGGCAGGCCTGGATGTACTGGCTGTAGTAGTCGCCCTGCGCCTCGTGGAAGGCGGCCTTTGCGCTCAGGCCCCGGAGCACGGCCTGCAGCTTCACCAGCTCCGCCCTCCGCCGCTGCCGGTGCCTGCGCTGGTTGAGGATGTCCTGCGGGGGGACCAGGGCTGGGGAGTAGGCCGTCCTGGCCCCAGAGGCCCAGGGCCCGACTCAGGCTGAGGGTGGGAAGAGGGCGGCTTCAGGCTGCTCCCCGCAGGAGGGCTCCCCCCGCCCCCGCAGCCCCCCACCACCCGGGGCTCCTCCACCAAGCACCGCTCCACACTCCCCGTTCTCAGCAGGAGCCTGTTGCCAGAACACGTCCTCCGCTGATGGACGTTAAGACCTTTCTTTCAGAAGGGGCCCTCCGGCATCTCCTGGGGACGGGTTTGGGGGGCGCGAGCTACCAGGGAGGTGCCAGCACTGCGCACGCGGGCCGGGCCGGGCCCGTACCTTGGCCAGCTCGTCCAGCAGCCCCTGGTAGCCGTCCTCGGCGCTGACCAGCCCCAGGCCCTCCAGGCGACGCAGGTCCCGCAGGGCGCGCCTCTGCTTCTCCGCCAGCGGCAGGAGGGAGCGAGCCGTCAGCGAGCGATGGCGTCGCAGCGGCTCCGGGGTCCGGGCCTCAGAGGCCTGGCGCTGGCACATCAGCCTCTCATGGGCGGCTTCCTGGGGCCAGAGACGCTGGTGTGAGGGGTCTGCCGGGCCCCACCTCAAGCCAGGGGCACTGCCGGTGGCAGCAGGAGGGGGCCCCCGAGCCCAGCTTCTGGGGAGGGGCAGGGAGGCTTGCGAAGGACGTGGAGGCGTGACTCGCAGACAGGGACGGCCCGCGGGAGACCCACGAGGACCGTCAGGACTCCCGAGGGCTGGCCGCCTGCCCAGCACGGAGCTCGGTGGCCCCGGGCATTCGGGCCACGTCCCTCTGCACCTCTATCAGCTGTGCCACCTTTTCTCTGGGAAGCCCTGGCCGATCACTCCAGCTGGCCGACTTGCCCTGCTCCCCACTTACTGTTTTCCCGCCTCCAGGCCTTCAAGTGCCCCAGCCCACGGGTGCTCTTCTTTGCAGCCTTGCACCCCACAATGCCTCGCTGCCCAGCCTGCATCCTATGACGCCTCATTGCCCAGCCTGCGCCCCATGACGCCACACTGCTCAGCCTGTACCCCCAAACACCTTGCTGTCCAGCCTGCACCCCACGATGCCTCGCTGCCCAGCCTGCACCCCATAACGCCTCACTGCCCAGCCTGCATCTCACGACGCTTCACTGCCCAGCTTACACCCCACAACGCCTCACTGCCCAGCCTGCATCCCATGACACCTCACTGCCCAGCCTGCGCCCCACGATGCCTCACTGCCCAGCCTGCACCCCACGATGCCTCGCTGCCCAGCCTGCACCCCATAACGCCTCACTGCCCAGCCTGCATCTCACGACGCTTCACTGCCCAGCTTACACCCCACAACGCCTCACTGCCCAGCCTGCGCCCCACGACACCACACTGCCCAGCCTGCACCCCATAACGCCTCACTGCCCAGCTTGTACCCCACAACGCCTCACTGCCCAGCCTGCACCCCACGATGCCTCGCTGCCCAGCCTGCATCCCACGATGCTTCACTGCCCAGCTTGCACCCCACGACACCTCACTGCCCAGCCTGCGCCCCACGACACCACACTGCCCAGCCTGCGCCCCACGATGCCTCACTGCCCAGCCTGCGCCCCACGACGCCTCACTACGTAGCCTGCGCCCCACGACGCCTCGCCCGGCCTCAGCGGCTGCTGTCCCTGCAGAGTGCCCCCCGTTGCATCCCACGACGCTTCACTGCCCAGCTTGCACCCTACAACGTCTCACTGCCCAGCCTGCGCCCCACGACACCACTGCCCAGCCTGCACCCCACGACGCCTCACTGCCCAGCCTGCGCCCCATGATGCCTCACTACGTAGCCTGCACCCCACGACGCCTCGCCCAGCCTCAGCAGCTGCTGTCCCTGCAGAGTGCCCCCCGGCCCAGCGGGGACCCAGGAACGGGACAGCCAGGCTCGTCAGGCCGAGGATCCCACAGCTCGGGCTCTTCTTGCCGACGGGCCTGTGGGGTGACGGGCAGGCTGTGGGTGGGTCCGGGGCGGGCAGTGCCCGGGGAAGAGGCGGGGAGGACCCAGACGCAGCGGGGCCGGCCTGGCCGCTCACCTGCTCTCTGGGCGCCGGGATGGACAGCATCTCCGAGACGGAGTCTCCGGGGTGGAACTGCATGATGTCGGCCAGCAGCTGCTTGGCGCTGCAGGAGGCGGACGGGGCAGGTGAGGGACAGGGCGGGGTCCTGGGCAGGGGCTGCCGGGGAGCTGAGAGGAAGTGGCCGGCAGGCACACACGGTGCGGGGGTGAGGAGATGTGACCGGAAAGGCCAGCTGTCCTGAGCACGCTGCTCACACCCGGTGCCCCGTGCCCCCCGCCCCCGGTGCCCTCGCACGTCCCCCTGGCTGGAGCACACGCGTCCTCCTCTGAGCCCGCTCCCGCCCCGTGGCCCCTCGCCTCGGCTCCCAACACACCGACAGCCCCCTCAGTGGCTCTGGCCGTGTCCACCCCTGCCCACCACGCCGTGGCCTCCGACGGCAGGACGAAGCTGACACGCAGCTCGTGTGCGTGCAGCCGAGTGGGTGAGCGGAGGCTGCTTTGCCGGCAGGCAGGTGGGCAGCAGCTGGGCTGCTCATGCACAGAACCGGCCCCGCCCCCGGGGGTCCTCCCTCACTTCTGCAGAACTGGGGAACCCGGGCCCCACGCCCCCTCCTGACCATTGCTCAATAAGACAGGGACTTCGAATGAGAGGCCCCCCCAGGGCTGCGGGGCTGGGCGGTCCCGTAGCATCTACCCCTCGACTAGGAAGCAGTCTGTGACTGGGGGGGACATAGGGACGCCAGGAGACGATGGGGAAACGGCAGGACACACGCGGCCACGATGCCAGTGTCCTGCGCCTTCAGCTACGGCACAGGTCAGACGCCAAGGTGGCCGGGAGGGGACCAGCAGGGATGGCAAGGGGGAGCTTTCTGAAGGACAGGACAGCCCAGGGAGAAGGGGGTGGCCACTTGGGAGCAGGGCCATTCTACCGGCCTGGGGGCCAGGTCGGCAGGGGCCAAGGCTGCTGTCACCCACCTCAGGAGCAGGCTCCGGGCGCTGGTGTCACCAGCATCCGTCCCTAGCCCTTCAAACTTGTTGGTGAGTGTCAGGGACACCTCCAGCTTGCTCAGCTCCGTGATCCCATCTGCGGCGGCAGTCTCCCCTGAGGTACGGTGACCGGTGACCGATGAGAGACAAGCACATCCCTCCACCCGCACAGACGGGGTCGGGGGAGGGATGCTGCTGCCCGCCCCCTCCTCCCAGAAGCTCTGCACACGCCCCGTGGCACCACCCCGAGCCCCAGCCCTGGGCACCGGAGGAAGGGCTGTCACCCTGCTTCACTGGCGGTGCCTTCCCAGCAGCCTGAGCCCAGGTGCCCTGAGGCCGGGGACTGTGCCTCCCTGAGCTGTAGCTCCTGGCTCACCGTACCTGTCGGCAGCTCCCGCCCGTCCACCTGTGACTCGCTCTCTCCCAGCCCACAGGTCCCGAAACCCCCCTCATCTGGGAACCTTCTGAGACCCAAAACAGCCCACATCTCTCAAGCCCATCTCATGTGACTTAACTGGCTGCGTATATGATGGTGCTGGGCCCTCTACTGCCTGTCCACTCTCTCCCTATCAGCCTGTGTCCCTGTGTCCACCTCCGGACCAGAGGGACAGAGGGAGCGCAAGTGTGTAACCCACTTCCTGGCACACTTCCCAGACTGAACGAAAACGCGAGAAGGCAGAAAGCACGCCCTGCTCCCCAGCCGGCCCCGCACGCACCCACGAGGTCAGGGACGGTGGGCAGCTCCCCGAGATCCTCCAGGAGCTCGTGCAAGGGGTCTCGGTGATCAGGGGCGACCCAGTCCTGGTGCTCCAGCAAGAGCTGCAGGGTGGAGGGGCATGGAGGTGCGGGTCTGAGCCAGGCGCCCCCGGGGACCCCAAAGCCCCGCCCGCTCACCCAGCGCCCCGAGCTGCGGCCCTCACCCTGTGCGTGTTGACCAGCTCCCCCACGGTGACGTACACCACGGGCTTGGCCACCGCCACCATGTCCGAGTACTCGTCCACCGCAAAGCGCTCTTCTGGCTCCGGCACCTGGCACGCTCGGCAGACGAACCTCCTGCCTCCCCAGGGCGAGCGTGAGAGTGGGCGCCCCCCCCCCGTCCTGTCCACAGCCGCCTTCCCTCTGGCCTCTCCAGTGACTGCTCGGGCCAACGCCAAGTCCCTGGTCTTGGCTCCCACCCCCGCCTGGCTCCCCGTGTCCCCTCCTGCCCACTAGCCGTTCCCTTCGCCCCACCCCTGCCCCGCCCACAGGCCCCGGCCAGGGAGGCACACACTAAGCCGGGGAGAAGGGACGGGGAGGCGCGGGGTGCCAGGACCCTAGACCTGAACTTGAGGTGTGTCTGCTCCAGGTAGTCACTCAAGACGCGCAGGTGTCGGCTGTCACCAGAAGAGGTGTCGCCAGCCGCGGCCCGCTGCAGGACCTGGGCCACGGCCCCCAGGGTGTGCCGCTGTGGGGCGGTCAGCATGCTGCCCGCAGCCATGGCCACCACGTCGAAAGCGTCGGGCGCCACCACGGCCGGGTTCAGGAAGCGGTAGTACAGGAGGTTCCCTACCACCTGCGGGCAGAGGAGACCATTCGGACGCCCACCACGCTGGGCGGCTGGCCAGCCCCAGCCCCCATCCAGCTTGCTTGGCCGGAAAGGACCACCTGGGCCTGTCCAGTCATTTCACGGAAGAGAAAACGACCCACAGCAGGCCGGCCACTTGCTCAAGGTCACACAGCACACTCAAGCGCCAGCTGGGACTAGAACCCGGGGCTGGCTTCTGTCAGCTCCTGCCCCCTTGTCCCCACCTCGCTGAAGCCCTGCTGGTGAGCCAGGGACGAGTCGCAGGGTGAGGGTCGCTTTCCTTGTGGGGCTCCCCGCACAGGGTCTCTGTCCTGTGTGGATGTGGGGCGGGCGGGGCGGGGTCTGCACTGGCCTTGTCGAGCTCCGCCTCCCCGGCATCCGGGAACTTCTCCGCCAGGGTGGTCTTCAGGACCTTGGCCAGGTACCGCATGCCGTAGCTGGGGACAAACGCTAGGCTCACCCGGGTCCTGCGTCTCTATGGGTGCGGGCCCACCTCTCATCCGGAGAGCTGAGTGCCAGCACGGGGCCCTGCCGCCCCCCTCCAGCTCCCCTGAGCCTCGTCCCTACCCTGCCCTATGTCAGTGCCCAGGGCCAGGCCCTCCAGCGGCACTCACGCAGCCTACGACCTGGCCCCTCCGGCCTCCGCCGGGGACACCCCAGACCCCCGCACCGCCTTGCCTTCCCTCACAGAGGCACCTTTAACCCCGGGGGCCAGACTCTCACGGCCAGGCCCCGCCCAGGACACCAGGACAGTCCTGAGGCTCGCAGAGGGCCCACTTTGTGGGCTGTCAGAGCCCCTGGCGGGGCCTGGCCTGGCGAAGGGGAGTGGATGCTGCAGGCCTGACCCCGCCCCCCTCAGCAGAGAGCCGGCCTGGGCCTGTCCTCCCTGGCAATGGCCCTGGCCTGGCGGACGGGGCGGTCATCTTGCCCTCATCAGCTGTGGGTCTGTCTGTCTTGAGAGTGACGTCTGACGGCACAGTGTGACTCGAACGTGCCACACTTCATTATTACTGTTTTTATCACTCCTGCATGGGCGTGCCACCTGCAAAGTTCTTTAAATTTGTTTAAAAGCTACTTCTGCCTCCTAGGGTATCAGAGACAGTTTACGCCTCATCCTGCACTTTCTGCTATTAGTTCTAGGAGAATCTTTTCTGAACCCTAACTGTAAACCCTTCGTCCAGCTCTCTAGGCGGGGGAGCAGAGCCACAATGCACCCCCTCGCCCGCACCCCCACTTTGCCCATCGGCGCTGAGCCCCAGGAAGGCTGGCTGGCCGGAAGGCGGTCTGTGTGAGCCCCACCTTGCCAGCGTTTTCAGTTGTCTGCTTTTCGAAAAGCACGTCGTGACCACATTTTAAGAAAGGAGAGAGCCACGGAGCGCTCACCGGCTCGAGTGTCTCAGCCCTGACTCTGGGGACGCAGGAGCCCTGCTCCTCCCACGTACCCCAGACAATGACGTGTCCCCACAACCACCCGCCGTCCCCCCGTCTCTGCTCCAGGATGCCCTGACGGGCCACGCGGACCTGCACGCTCCGTTCCAGCTCAGTCTCCAGTGGGGCCCGTGGCTTCCCGCCCACCCCGGCCGCCCTGGGGCGCCCAGGGACTGCCCTGCTCCCTCCGCCATGGCCGGGCCTGGGCTGGGCTGGGCTGGGCTGGGGCTGTGGCACGTACGGAATTTGGTCCACGGACGAGATGATGGCTACAAGGAAGTTATCCGCTACGGTGAGGAGGTTTCGGAGGGAGATGTCCAACCGTCTCTGGACCTCAGGGTGGCTCAAGGCCTGCTCTGGAGTGACGTTGTACGGGAGGTGGCTGCGGGCAGAGGGAGGCAGGTATCAGCCGCCCCTGCCCGAGGTCCTGCTGCTCGAACCTCAGCGAATAGCAGGACCTCACACGCGCACAGCTCAGGGCAGCCCAGCACGCCCAAGGAGGCCAGGTGGAGGGTGTGGAGGGACCAGGGCTGCCTGCACCGTCTTTGGCACCTGGGGCGATGGTGAAGGCTGGCCAGGGGCTGGCCGTCCCCCTCCTGCTGCCCGCGTGCCACCCGGAGGAGCCAGCAGCACTGCCCACTCTCCTGGTGGCTCGTGCCCCGAGTACAACACCTGCAGTCCGGGAGGCCGACCTTCTCCCGCCGGCCCCGCCTGCAGACCTGAACCCCGCCCGGACGCCATGCGTCGGGGCCCAGCCTCGGCTCCAGCCCCAGCCCCGGCTCATCGGACGCACCACGTGCCGGCGCTGACGTAGCAGCGACACATGAGCACGTCCCTCCGTGTGGCTCGCTGGGCTGAGCACGCCAGGTCACTGTCCTTCACGTCGGCCCCACGCCGCTCCCAGACGGCACTGAACGGCTTCCTTCCTTCGTCCCACAGGGCTGGCGCCCCAGCCGCATCAGGCAGCGTGCTGCGTACGTGCCACCCGTCGAGTGCCCGTGCCTCCCCAGCGGGGCCCGAGAGCACACTCACCTGCGCTGACCCGTCTGGGCCTCCGTCTGGTTGACCCAGCTCTTGTAGACGTGCACAGGGTCGGTGTGGATGCTGAGCGTCTTGTCCTCCAGCACGTCCTGGACGACCCTGCCCAGGATCTCCCGCAGGGCGCTCTGGCCCCGTCCGTTACGGTAGAACCTCACCACCAGCCTGACCACCGTGGGGCTGCCCGTCGCCACGTCCTGCAGCCGCTCCACCTTTGACCTGTGGTTGGAGAGCTTATTGGAGCCGGTCCCCTGCTCGTGTGGGACAAGTAGCTGCCTGTGCTTCTTGAGATTGGGCTCTTCGGAGCCTGTACTGGTTGGTGTCCCTCCTCTTGAGGAGCGTCCGTCACCCCTGTCTCGCCCTCTGTGCTACCGTGTCAGCCCACGTCCCCTCCGTGCTGCCCCAGGGCTCTGGTACTGTCTCTGTAGGAGGCAGAGAAAAGACGGCTTCTGGCTCCATGTCCACCCTCAAACCTGAATGAACTGCCACGTGGGGGAGGACCAGCTGTGGCCTCTCCTGGCCTGCTCCCTCCCACCCCTTCACAGCTGGGGCACCTGCCTGACTTCCTCCTGGAGCGCGGTCTTGAACAGCTGCAGCAGGAGGTAGGCCTCACGGCGGCTGGAGGCGTAGTTGTACAGCCCGAAAATCACGGACTCCATGAACTTGGTGGTTTTGCCCTGCGGCATCTGGAAGATCAGCTTGGCCAGGTAGATGGGCTGAGTCTGCAGCAGTGGGAGGGGGCGGGAGTGGCTGCTGGCGCACCGCCAGGACCCGCCAGGTAAAGGAAGGTCTTCCTGGGAGGGCTTGGAATGGAGGCGGCCCTGCCCCCTCTCCATGGAGGAGGCAGGCTCTTTGGGGGAGGCGGTGGGGTTACGGAGAAGGACATCTTGCAGGAGGCAGTGGCAGGGGCACGGAGGCCTCAGGAGACGGTGGAGACCCCCCCCCTCCGAGGCCCCCGCTCACCTGGAGCAGGTAGAACAGGTGTTGGTAAGCTTCGAGCTTCTGCCGCTTCTCTTTGCTCAGCGACTTTAATCCCTTCTGCTTGTCCAGCACCATCATATCTGACAACTGTTCCTTATTCTTCTTGGTCAGCTTCTTGCAGTGGGAGACCACCTCCTGCGGGGGGGGAGCGGGTGACACGCTGGGCCCAGGCCAGCCCCCCCCACCCCCCGCAGGGCGCGTGGTCTGGGTCAGTGCCCCAAGGGCCAGGGCTTCCCATTCTGGGGTCCAGGGCATGAGCCGAGGGAGACAGCGGTTCGGGGAGGCCCCGCCTGGTGCCCCTGCTGTCACAGGCGCGTCCGCAGGGAGAGGAGCTGCCGGGCGGAGGCGCCGTGCGCGCTGGTTTTGCTTTCGGCTCTTGGCCGACTGTCGTGCAAATTTAAGTGGAGTTATCATTCCTCCCCCGTGTGTGGTGATTTAGTCTAAGGAGCTTTCGAGTCTGTGTCTGCGTTCGGCCCGGTGAGGGGGGCCCTCTCATTTCTCCCACTTTCCCAAGGAGAAGACAGACTTCGGGGGGAAGCGAGCAGCCCGCAGCCCCAGTCGAGAGAGCCCGTCTGCAGAGCCGTGTGTGCCCGGCAGTTACAAGGACAGAGGACGGCTGCGGCGAGGGCCTGAGCCAGGCGCAGACGGCAGGACGAGCAGCTGGGGGTGAGAGGGGCTGGGGGCCGCACCTGCAGAGTGGCCCGGCTCTTCACCAGCAGGCCGATCTTGGTGTCCATGAGGGCCAGGTCCCGCTCCAGCTGCTGATTGGCCCGGATCCTCCTCACCACCTGTTCCTGGAGCCTCAGCAGCTCCGCCTCGGCCAGGAAGTCCTGCTGGCTCTGATTCAGGAGGTGGATGAACCTGCGCAGCACGCTGAGCGGGGGGTGGGGCTCACGCGCTGGGGGAGGGGGCAGCGGCCGGTCAGACACTCCCCCGCACCCCAGGCCCCGTCCTGCCCTGGACGCTCTGCTTGCAGCCGGAGGGCGATGGGCAGCCTCCCAGGGGTCCTCTCCCGGAGCCTGGCCGGAGACCAGATGGGACACAGCCGTCTGGCCCCTGCCCTGAGCCCCTCCCCACTCCTTCACTCCAAGTTCACCCCCACCTCCCGCTGGCCTTCAGCCCTGCCTGCCCCTCACCCACCCTCCTGTCTGCAGTGCAGACATGGGGCACCGGTGAGAGGGGCCGCATCCTGTGGGCTTTAATCACAGGGAGCTCGGAGCTAGACGGCCCCTCCCCTGGGAGGGACGTCTGGGCAAAGAGAAGCCTCGAGCTCAGCTACAGGGGACAACAGCAAGACAGCTACTAGGACACTGTCCACTCCGGGACAGAAACTGCTCCACCACGAGAACCGGCCGTGAGGCCAGTGCCGGCGAGGAGCTGCCGAGATCACCAAGGCGCAGAGAGGGTGAGCCCTGTCCGGGTCGCACAGCGAGCAGCGGACGCGGGAGTCGGTCTGGAAGACCTGTCCTCACAGGCAGCCCCGAAACGGAGCGGGTCACGACGCTGTGGTCGGAGCTCTGAGACGGGCACAAACGCAGGACACCCCGGCCCGCCCGGGGAGAGCGGAAAGGCTCCCCGTGGGAGGAGGCGGCGCCCGACCCGGGGTCTGTGGAAAGGGGTGACAGCGAGCGAACGCGGCTGTTTTAGGTTTAGGAAGCGCCGGAGGCCGCCACGTCGGGAATGCGGGATGGGGACACAGATGGCGAGGGACGGCGTCCGGCCAGCGAGGCCCGAGGGCAGGCCGCGGTCGGGA